TTACAAAGGGGGGAAGTTATATTTGCCAGAAGCGCTCCGTCTTAATGCTCTCAACCACAGCCACGATGTAAAGCAGGCTGGACACTTTGGATATTTGAAAACCCTACACCTCACCCGCCAGCAATTTTGGTGGTCGGGGCTGAAAAAGGATGTTGAAAACTATGTAAAAAGTTGTACTGTATGTGCCACAATGAAAAGAATCCCGGGGAAAACTCCTGGGTTACTGCAACCTGTGGCAGACCCTTCTCAACCCTGGGAAGAAATAGCTATGGACTTTATAGTGGACCTACCTGAAAGTAGTGGAAATACTGTCATCTGGACTGTGATAGACCTGTTCTCAAAACAGGCTCATTTCATCGCTTGCAAAGGACTCCCATCTGCCCAACGCCTGGCCAAATTGTTCCTGAAACATATCTACCGGCTGCATGGTGCCCCTAAGCGAATAATCTCAGACAGGGGGGTGCAATTCACAGCAAAGTTTTGGAGAAATTTCCTTACCTTGATTGGATCATCTCAAGGGTTATCATCTGCTTTTCATCCAGCCACCAATGGGGCCGCTGAAGCCGCTAACAAAATGGTGGAGCAATATCTTAGGTGCTACGTTTCCTACCAACAGACGAACTGGACTGATCTCCTCCCTTTTGCGGAGGTGGCGTACAATAATTCCGTGCACAGCAGCACCAGCTACACGCCTTTCAAAGTAGCCACAGGGAAAGAGTTTAACCCAATACCTGAATATTCTCAGTTGCCCTCCGCCTCACAGACACTTGATCAATGGGTGAGAGGGTGGGAAGGAGTTTGGAAAAACACAAAAACGGCTTTAAAAAAGACTTTTGAAACCTATAAAAAGCAGGCTGATCAAAAGAGGGCTCCCCAAAGAACATTCCAAGTTGGGGAAAAGGTCTATCTGTCAACTAAATATCTACGCCTCAAATTGCCCAGCAAGAAATTGGGACCAAAATTCTTGGGGCCTTTCCCCATAGTAAAGGTCATCAACCCAGTCACAGTACAACTAAAACTCCCTAAACTGTTAGGGAAAATTCACCCAGTTTTCTATTGTAGTTTGTTGAAGCCTTATCGGGGCTCTACTTTAAGACCTCCTCCAAAGAAGGCACCTGGACCCCTCGTAGTGGTAGGGCAGACCCACTATGAGGTGAAACGTATTCTCGATTCCAGAATCTTTAGAGGGAAATTACAGTACTTAGTACAATGGAAGGGATACCCATTGTCTGAAGCCACCTGGGTGACGTCCAGTGAAGTGAAAGCTGACAGATTAGTCAAAAAGTTTCATGTTAAACACCCCAACAAACCGAAAAATAACCCTTAACCTATACTTATGTTTATATTCCAGGGTTTGTTCTTTTTGTAAGGAGGGCCGGATGTCAAGACTGCTAACATCGGATGTTCTTGCTTGCCATATATGAAGAAGCACACCTGTTTTATTTAGCCGTATAGCATTTCTAGAGTTAAGGCAGATAGCAGTAGTTTAAGGGGTGGGAAAGTATGCAAGTTAACCATAACAATGTCTGGGCACAGTGTGGCGAACGTCAGCTCAGCTGCAACGGGAAGGGCACCTCACGCTTCACATTAATTGGAGAATGTGATTGATGACTGTAAAATGAAGGAGTGAGTTATGCTTTGTTACAGATGCTTGGGGGAGGGAGGATTCAGTTTCTGGCTTAACTTTGTTAGTGCCGAAGCTATGCAGAATAATAAAAGATTCTTTTAGAGGAAAAAGCCTCAAAATTCTTTGAAATCTGCTTTCTTTCGGAACCATGTCACACAGCGGTTCAAGTGAGAGCAGACCTGGTTGAGGAAAAAGATCAGTTTCTCTGGGTCCCCATCAAAGGTGACTCTAAGAGGTGGCACCATCAGTGGTTGCTGGCCTCCCCACTGAGGATGTTGCTTCCCCAACTGTTGCTGGCCCCCCCATGGTGGCTGCCACATCCCCAGTTGCTGCAAGCCTCCCAGTGGTTGCTGCATGGGCAGGGGCTGTTGCCACCCTCACAGTTGTTGTTGCATTACCAGCGGCTGTGGCATCCCCAATTGCTGTACGACCTCCGGGGTAGCAGTCGCTGCCAGGATGCTGGTTTCAGGCATTCCTTCCTTCTCCATGCTGAGATCTTCCCCGAATTTTGTCGGTCTATCGCTCAATTCTAGGGACAGCGACTGGGGCTTGGGACCCCAAGATAGTTAGGTAAAAATTGAAGTTATTGGCTTAATATCATGGTTCCGACAGATGAAACTCTTCAAAATAACTTCGAGGCATTGTTTACCTTAAACAATCTTTTATTCGAGAAACAAAATATCAGCACTACAAAGTTAAAGCCAAAAACTGAATTCCCCTCCCCTGGGCACCAAGTAGCAAAGCACAATTCCCTCCTCCAATTGTCATAAATCACATTCCCCAATTAGCTTGAAGTGCGGGCTTTCTCCCCAGCCCACCAAATCTTTATCAACTCTGGGCGCAATAACCTTGATTCCCACAGTTGAGTTATATTGTTATGACTAACTGGACTCTCATTCACATCCCCCCTCCCAGCATCAACCATTTCTAAAAGCAAAAGAGAAAAGATGGCTACATTTCCATCTGTTGTCAAAGCAAGAACATCCGATGTTAGCAGTGTTGACAAATAATAATAATAATAATAATAATAATAATAATAATAGTACCAATAGTAATAGGCTCCTTGGGTGCAATCCCAAAACAACTGGAGCACCACTTGAACACCATTGGCATTGACAAATTCGCTATTAGTCAATTGCAAAAGGCGGCCTTACTAGGAACTGCTTCCATCCTGCGACAATATCTGTAATACCATCAAACATCCACATCTGCCTATCCCAGGTCCTGGGTAAGGACTCGATAGGTAGACAAAATGCCAAATCCAGTCTGAAATCTGGCTGATTGTGCAATGATCCATAATAATAATAATGTTGGAAGGGACCTTGGAGGTCATCTAGTCCAACCCACTGCTCAGGCAGGAAAGCCTATACTATTTCAGACAAATGGCTGTCCAGTCTCTTCTTAAAAACTTACAGGGTTGGAGCAGTCATAGCTTCTGGAGGCAGGTTATTCCACTGATTAATTGTTCTAACTGTCAGAAAATTTCTCCTTAGTTCTAGGTTGCTTCTCTCTTTGGTTAGTTTCCATCCATTGCTTCTTGTCAAAAGAGCTGTTGTATGTTTAGCACAAATTTGATGAGAGAGGCCAACTAATTTGTTTTGCCTATCCCAAAACTAGTACAAAAACAGGATGACTACTCTGGTGTCTTGAAAATGTAATTGAAACTTTTCATTAAAGGGAACATATGATTAAAAAATATCCTAATTTATCCAGGGTTCCTTGTTTCATTTAGAACAGGAAAGATGTATACTCACCTCTACAGAGCCTTATGTAGTGGGCTTTTATAAATCATTTAGAAGGCTGATTCAAAGCATTTTTTTCAAGTCTTAGGATTACTAAAATCCTCCCCAAAACTTGGGGTACATGCTTTGAGGCCTTTCTTCATCGGTACACATAAAACATTTCTGCCAGAACTGGTGGTGATGCAAATAGATATTTATCATGGAACACTTGGAATGCAAGTTCAGTCCTATTGTCCTTCTATAAGTCCATGATGACTTGGCTTTCCCCTCAGATCTTTGGGCCAAGGTATTAGTGAAGACTGAAACATGTGTTTTAATGCTTGAATTATTTGACATGTTTTTGTAGTGTAGTGTAGTGACTTTATCATTTTATTAGGTTCATTTTTGTTGCTTTTATAATATGTTTTGTACTGGTTAATAACCAACAATGGTTACTTGTTTATGATGGGCAAACATATAAAGAATCTAAATAAATAAATAATCAAACAAGGTCATCTTCTCTGCACTTGTTGCTTTGATTAGCATGGTAATACATACATATTTATATTTATGCTGGTAAGAAACTTTGCTCACACTATGCCATCTGTAATTTATGCTTTTTTACAAGTGTTGTAATAACACTAAAGTACATAAAAGATAATTAATAATGAATTAATATTACTATGGGTGAATTAATCTAGCTACCCATAGTCACTTGTATGGGTGGCGTACAAATTTAATAAATGAATATATAAAATAAATACATTTCCCTTTCTGGTTGTTTCTGGAAACAGCAAATTTGTGCACTGCATAAGGTGAATAATTGTGAAGGGAGGGATATTTGATGCATGCAAATATATTTAAGAAAATATTTAAGGAAAATCAGGGGTTCCTAACTCCTGGGCCATGGACAGGCCTCATGAGCAGTGGGTGCTTGCGCTTGTGCAAATGGAGCTGTGCAAGCACACATGCATACACCTGCCACTCATACAGAACTATCCCCCCTCCTCGCCACGCTGAGCTGCCAAGCCGGAAAGGTTAGCTGAAGGGGAAGGATCTAGCTGAGTTAGCTGAAGGGGAAGGACCAATGATGTTGAGTTTCTCTTTCCCATTTGGTGTAAAGCATCTGGCTTGGAATTTTGTTGTGATAGAAACTTTAATGTTTGTGCAGTCCACAATGTGTAGGCTGTCTGCAATGAATTAATAATGTAATACATTGCAGGACAAAATTGGTGAATTAATAAAAAACTGAAATAATGCGATTTTCAATACATTGATTTGTATTTAACCTGATACTTTAAAATATGAGCAGTTTAAAAAACCCTCACAGGTGAAACAGGATTTTTTCCTTATGCATTGAATTATATGACATGTGATAATGATCAGGTGGTATCACCTGAAGAGCTGGGGCCATGATTGTCAGGTTTTGGGAAAGTTGAAATAGGATCTAACTGGAAACTCAGCTATTATTGATTTTTTTTTAATTAAAAATATTTCATGTTTCAAGATTGAGTGCTAAATTTAGCAATGTAATCTTACTGGGGAGAGGATTGGTGGTTATATGCACCCTGCAAAATGCTGCCTACTCCCATTTTAAAAATAATGCTGAAATAGAAAATAAATAAAATGAAATCATTTTTAAGCTCACTTACTTTACATATAAATCCAGGTGCCTGGGAAAATCTATTTTACCAGCTAGAATCTTCTGATATATTCCAAATGGGTTGTCATCAAAAAATGGAGGAAATCTGTTTAAAAAAGAGTAACAATGTTAGACAGTTGTTTCTGGAAGTATGAACAATGTAGCTAGAAACATAACACAACACAATAAACCATAGTAAAACCTCATTAGGTGCAAAATTCCTTTTACAATGAATATGGAAAATAGTTATTCTGATTTCAATGACTTCAAACATTACTTATGCCCACCTTGTGTAGGAAACAAAAACACCTCAAATGTATTAGTGTATTTTTGGAATACCTTTATGTGATATTCCTAGTTACATGAAGTTGGTATCTGATGTGACGAGGTCTAGAAGTTGATTTGGCAAAATTGTTTTGATACTTATATTAGATAGGCAATATCTATATATGTAGATACGTACAGTATGATATATACAAATACAAGAGCATTAGTTACTTCGGTGCCTCTGTTTTCTGCACAAGAGTTTTACATGTAATGTAAAAAGAGTTTTACATATAATGTAAAAGGATATAAGAAGAATTTCAGTAACACAAGAACACATCTCAGTCAGTTTTGTTTTTGCTATCTTAAAGGAAGCCTTACTGGAAAGGCATAGTTAAAACGAAAACCACAGGGTCTTAGTTTAATTTAATATTCCAAATTTTCTTTTTATTTATAGTTTACAAATGTAATTATTTGAAAGTTACTGTATTTTTGTTATTCAGTTGCTATTATAATTAATATTTACTGAATATATTTCTGGATGAAATGAAGTAAATCCCTGAATTTAATATTCTTTTAGTCGCTTATTTTAAGAGAATGTCTTCTTTGATATTAAGTATAGGATCCAGTTCTATATTTAAAATGCCTAACTAGTTACCTGTAAGACATATTATTGAAGGGAAAAATCATGAATAAAGCAGTGAATATCCACAAAAATCGATAAATACCTTAACTGAAATGTATTGCAAAGAATATATTTTGCTACAATAATAACATAACAATGTAACAATAACATGACAATAAAAATTCTTTATACATTTTATTTGATCATTAACTACATCTCATTTAAACGATTAAATAGCATTTTCATTGCTGCTTTTCAAAAAAAAAAAAAGCCGTGGGTCAGGAGCTACATATACTATATAATTATGATGCATTCGCTTTCTCCTATTTTACATTTACAATACTTTCCCACAACAAAACATATACTTATTGCATTGTATTGCAATGATCCATGAAATGTTTAACTGTAGTTTATTGGATATTGGATTTGGAATGGAATGTTTTTTCTTGTTAGTGTTTCTTGACAATGACATGAAGTAAATTACTTGCACATTATCTTTAAAAGAAAATGTAGGAAAATACATTTTATCTTATCTTAGCTAGGATCACTTGTGAGGCCAAAATAAAAACTATATTATATGAATATGGGAGTAATGATCCATATCAGGGCTTTTCAACCTTTTCACTGGCACTGATCCTGGTGCTTCCACTGAGCCCTAACAGCCCCAAAGAAGCGCCAATCAGCTGGAAAGCGGTGCTGATCCTGGTGCTTCCGCTGAGCCCTGACAGCCCTGCAGCTCCAGCCATCTCTCGCTGAGGCTTGTGCGGTGCTGCACCAGTTCAGCTCATTACCCCTCCCCCGCTACCACTTTTCTAGGATGGTCGCGTACCACCTGCCAGATGCCAATGTACCACAGGTGGTACCCGTACCACTGGTTGAAAAGCCCTGGTCTAAATAACGAGAATGGCACCATTGGCTTTTAGAGGGACATGTAAAGAGGCAGGATATAGCCACCTACATAGCCACCTATCCTGAGAGAGATATAATATACCCAATTAGCTAGCCACAGCAGCCAAATTAACCTCTGCAATCAATGAATGACAGATGTTGCAGCCGAACTGCCTTTACATCCAGGAAATCACAAAAGATTCAGGGGAGTTTTCAGCTCATGTGTCATGCTACAATGTTCAATGGCCATATGGCAAGCTGTGGATTATATACATGACATCTAAAGATATATGCAAAGTTATCAAGCTACTGACTACCATAAATTAAAATGCATGTTTATAGCACAGAGTATTACACAGAACTGTATGTTTGAAGAACTATGAAATATGTACAAAATTTTATAAATTTATTCATTTTAACAATATATGGTCCTGTAAAACCTAATTAGATTTGAAAGGGCTTATAAATAATACTTTGAAACAAACAAAAGCATTTTAAAATCATATTAAGGAGATGCTGCAAAACACTGTAACCCTCAAGATTCTATGAAGATCCTACAATAATGCCTTGATTTATATGCTTGTTGCTTTGTAATAGAATTGACTCAATTGTAAATAGTACTGTCTTTTACAAGAATAATTTTAAATTCCATGAACTTGAAACTCATAAGATAAAATGCACTTTCCTACATTTTCTTTTAAAGATAATGTGCAATTAATTTACTTCATGTCATTATCAAGAAACACTAACAATTTCAATTAAAATATTCCAATTAATCTTAAACAAACATATTAATAAAATTTTGGGTATCCCTTCTACAACACACATAATATTCCAAGAATAACATTCTAATATTTTCACATATATTCCATCTCTTAATTTAATACATCATTAATTAATACCCTTTCTTCTCTTGTCATAGATCTCTCTAATTATTCTGCTATTACAAAATAGTCTTCTATATAAACAGAGTAGAAAACACATACACACAAAAAAAAATCATTTCAGCCTGTTAAGTAAAATTTAACTTTCAACCAAATTAACTATCATATCTAAAACAAACATATTATTACACCAGTTATTATCTTACTGACTTCATTTACTCAATTAGATTGTCAAATCAGTCCAAATTTCTAAAGCCTTTTTGACCCAATAATTAATATTTTAAATCACATTTTTAAATCTAACTCTGGCTTTTTTTCTATACTAAGCTGGTTTCCGTAATGTCGCATCTATGTCATCAAATCTCAGTATTTGAATACTAATGTTTATCAACAAATCAATCTGATCAAAATTCTCTTCCCCTTCTTCCAGTATCATATAAACAATAGGGGCGTTGTCTTACCTGAACGCCTTTTCTCAGCATGATGATGGAGACTCCCCTAGTGGGTTGTCTTAATCTTGCTGCTCCAATAAGACTAAGTCAGAGTTAAAGTCACGCCTCTACTGTGTCCCCAGTTTGAGACTGAGTCGATGTACAGACATTAACCCATGCAATTGCGTTTCCATTATTGGAATCAGGACCAACTGACCTTATCTGGGTGGGGGTGGAGTCTCCATCATCATGCTGAGAAAAGGCGTTCAGGTAAGACAACGCCCCTTCTCCAGCATGATTGGATGGAGACTCCACTAGTGGGACTTACCAAAGCCCTGTGTCCCTAAGGGAGGGAGTCAGTTTGGGCCTGTGACGTTCTAGATGGCAATACTTTCTGTAAAACTCTGCGGCCAAAGGAGGCATCCAAAGATGCATATTGGTCAATTTTGTAATGATGGATAAAGGACGAAGGGGAAGACCACGTGGCCACCCTGCAAATTTCCCCTATAGAAGCCCGTGTCGCCCAAGCTGCAGAAGTAGCAGCACCCCTGGTGGAATGGGCCGTAATATTTCTAGGGACCGGTAATGACTGGTTCTTGTATGCCAGGGCAATACAAGACCTGATCCACCTCTGTATAGTTGATGAAGAGACTTTCTGACCTTTGGCCAAAGGTTGGAAGGAGATGAACGTCTCGGACCTTCGGAAAACCGAAGTCCACTTGATATAACACTGCAATGCCCTGCGGACGTCCAGTGTGCTCCACTGGCTCTCAGTGTCCTGGGATGAGTCAGGACTCATCCCAGGACACTTCCTGGGACCTATGGTACAGAGAATTCACCTTGGGAACAAAGGAAGGGTCAAGCCTGAGGACTATCCTGTCTGGGAAGAAAATGCATAGGTCCTCCCTGACAGAAAGAGCGGCCAGCTCCGAAATACGCCTGGCCGACGTGATTGCCACAAGAAGTGCCACCTTCATTGATAACAAATCAAGTGAGCATGTCTCCATAGGTTCAAAGGGGGGCTGCAATCAGAGCTTGTAAGACCTGTTGTAGGTCCCACGAGGGGTATCGGTGAACTGGTGGTGACTTGGCGTTGTTAGCTCCCTTCAAGAAGGAACGAACCAAGGGATGGTGAGTCAGAGAGGTGGCATTTTCGCACATGAGGACAGTAGCGAGAGCAGCAACCTGTCTACGGATTGTGCTCGGGGATAGCCCTTTATCTAACCCATCCATCAGGAATTCCAGCACAATAGGAACCGAGAGACCCGAAAGTTCCACCTTATGTCCTGCGCACCAATTGCAGAAACTCTTCCAAGTGGCATCATATATTCTATTCGTTGAGGCGCATCTGGATTGTTGAATCACAGCTATCACCCTCGACGAATATGAATCATGGCTCAAGGCCTGCCTCTCAAGTAACAAATGGTTAGATTGAGCCACTGCGGGTCCGGGTGCTGGATATCCCCTTGTGTGAGGGTGATACGACCTGCCGGAATCCTCCAAGAGGGTGAGATGGATATCTCCACCAGGTCCGCAAACCACGGTCGTCGTGGCCAATGACGGAGCGACCAGGAGAACTTCCACCCACTCATGTAAAATCCTGCGGATCGTGGCTGGAAGGAGCGGAAAGGGAGGGAAGGCATACAGCAGTTCCCTGGGCCAGGGACTGTGGAGGGCATCTATCCCCTCTGCTGATATCCCCTCTGCTGAGACGGGAACCTGGAAAGGAACCTTGGTAGTTGAGAATTGGTTGGGGAGGCAAAAAGGTCTAAGGTTGGGGCACCAAACCTGTCCACGATCTCCCTGAACATTCCTGAGTCCAGACGCCATTTGCCATGGTCCACCGTGGCTCTGCTTAGCAAGTCCGCCTGGTGATTTGTTGCCCCGGATATGTGCTCCGCTTGATGGAAGCAAGGTTCAGCTCTGCCCAAGACCCCAATTGTCTGGACTCCTGCATAAGGGGTCTGGACCTTGTCCCCCCATCTGTTTACGTGGGCCTTGGCAGCTAGGTTGTCCGTAAGCACTAATACGTGCTGACCCGCTATCACATTTTTGAAATGTTGTAGTGCCAGATGAATGGCCCTGAGTTCCAGCCAGTTGATATTGTTTAATAGGTCCTGTTGGGACCACCGACCTGAGCCCATTGCAACTGGAGGTGTGCTCCCCAGCCGAATGGGCTGGCGTCTGTGGTGAGGACAGTTCTGGCTGGTTCCTTGAACTCTGTGCCCCGTGCCAGTGCCGGAGAAGCCCACCATCAAAGGGAGTTCAATGCTGACTGCGGAACTCGAACCTTCTGCCTGGAAGCGCTGATGCGTAGTTTCTGAAAGGGAAGAAGGACCCTCTGCAGTTCCCGGGCATGAAGACGGGCCCACGGTACAATGTGCACACAGGATACCATTTTCCCTAACAGCTGGGATAATAAGGCTAAGGTGACTACCTTGTCCTGGCAAATTCTCTGCACAAGGGCCCTGATGCTGTCCTGTCAGTCCTGGGACAAATAGACCATGCAGTTGCTGGTGTCTATTACTGCCTCTAAATGAAGGAGCCGGGTTGAAAGTATAGTATGGCTTTTCTGGAAATTTACAGAAAACCCGTGCTCCTGACAGGTCCTAATAGTGAGGGCGAGGTCAGACTGGGCCCTCTAGAAGGAGGAGGACTGTATTAAAATATCATCTAAATAATATTGGGCACGGACTGGGATCTGTCTGAGGTGAGCACTGCCAGTATCTTTGTAAAAACTCTAGGAGCTGCGGATAGGCCGAATGGTAAGGCTCTATACTGGTAGTGCTGGTGATTATAGCAAAATCTGAGGAATTTGTGATGCCCAGGGAGAATAGGAATATGGAGATAGGCTTCAGTTAAGTCTGTTGATGTTAGGAATCTCCCCGCTGGATACTGGCCAAAATTGACTGTAATGATTGCATTTTGAACTTCCTGTACATCAAGTAACGATTTAATTTCTTTAAATCAAGGATTGCCCTCCAGCCCCCTGAAGACTTAGGAACAACAAACAGTGTTGAGTAGAACCCCTGCCCTGCCTGGTCTTGCGGGACCAGTTCTATGGCCCGTATTTGTAACAGGTGGGAAATGGCCTCCGACATGAGGGGCCCCCCCTCGAGCGTTGTAATCAGCCACTGAAGATCCGATCTGATGAACGTTGCACCCAGGTGAGGGGGGGTGATGGGGGTCAAATAAGGCGTGCATTCCTACAGGGACAAGCTTGCCCTCCCCAGGTCGGACTGCAGCTGATGACTAGGCCCGAATACAAAATGGATACTGCAAACAAAATGGTGGCTGTAAGAATCTTGCCAAAACTTCTCCAGGCCAAACTGCCTCAAACTGTGAAACACAGCTCAGATGAGGCCAAAACTTCTCCAGGCCAAACTGCCTCAAACTGTGAAACATAGCTCAGATGACACCACACCTTCTCCAGGCCAAACTGCCTCAAACTGTGAAACACAGCTCAGATGAGGCCTTTAGAAATGAGCCCTGCTCCAGCAGGAAGCGTCTGGGTTCCTTTAAATGGTAACTGGAATCTGACCTGAATATCTCTATGTCCCTCGAAGCTGTTGCTGCGCTGGTCTCTGGATGAGTTTGATGCTCTGCTTTCCCAGGCCTAAGAGGCCGAGGCCTTCTTGCTCACGAGGAGCCCAATTCGGCCTGGTTAAGATTTAACTGTAGGGCAGAGGCTAAGTGGGAAAGAAAGGAATAGTTCTCTCTCAAATAGGTAAGAATTTTATCAGAATAGGCTAATTGGGAAAGAAAGGAATAGTTCTCTCTCCAATAGATAGAAGTTTATCAGAAATAGTTTGAGCTACGAAAAAAACGTGTCTTAGGAGTAAAAGACTAAGTCTAAAACTGGGACATGGGGACATAGTAGAGGCATGACTTTAACTCTGACTTAGTCTTATTGGAGCAGCAAGATTAAGACAACCCACTAGTGGAGTCTCCAACCAATCATGCTGGAGAATAGTCCATTTTATTCCATATTATAATTTCAGCTTGGTTATCCAGGTTGTTGTAACTTTCAATCAATCGCATCTGGCTGTCAATTAATTCTGGCAATGGGAGAATTTCACTTATAGTCATTTTTTGATCTTCAAAGTTCTCCATTTGTACATAGGCTTGTGAAATATCCTCCTCTGTAGTAGTCAGTTGATTTATAGAATAATTATTTAAAGTCTCAGTCTGAGGTTTTGGGTCCAGAATTTTTCTAAAGTTCAATTGGTCAGTAAGTTCTTCCATCTCGAATTGTGTACACAGTTGCATATAAGCTTCTTCTTGGCCTGTAGATTGGTCTTTTAAAATTTGGGACTTAGCTTGTGATTCTAGAAGATGGTCTTTAGTTTTTCTCCATGACTTCATCTCGTCATTTCCAATATTTTTTCCAGTATCAGCTCATAATCCAGTCCAGAATTCAATTGATCAGCAACTTCTTCTTCCATCTCAGATTGTGTATACTGTTGCATATAGGCTTCTTCTTGGCCTATAGATTGATCTTTTAAAGTTTGAGGCTCAGCTTGTGGTTCTGCAAAATGAACTTTACTTTTTCTCCATAACTTCATCTCCTCTGTCATTTCCAATATGAGCTCATAGTCAAGCTGTGGGTAAAAAACTTTTATTTCCATAGTAAAAAAGTCTTTTAATCTTTTTGTGGAAACTATATTAAGAATCCATATACATCCGCCTCCACAATTTTTAAATCAAAAACACAACCTACAGCTATTTCCAAGCCTTTATCTTTTCTTCTTGTTAATTCCTGAAGTAATTTTCGCCACAAGATGTCCTCAGTAATCTATAAAAAGCTTTTTTATATACTTTAAAAGCCTTTATCTCATTAAAAATGACAACGAAAGAGACAGAAAAAAAGCAAATATCTTCAGTATAGTAAGTAAAATAATGCTCTAAATTAGAAATCTCTCCAGGGATGCCCACTATCCAAAAGGTTCAAAATATAATAAGTGCTATTCTGAAGTATTGTTTAAAGTATTTTTTTCCCTCAAATAGACAGAAGCTGCTCTCTTAGAACAGGGAAGTCATCTAAAAAGCAAGCTCTTTGCAGGAAAAATAGTTCAGAATGAAGAAAGGGAGGAAAGGTCTCACCCGGATTCACCACGGTGGTTCTTTATGCTTAGATGATTTTCTGACTTCAGCTGGCACAGCGAAGTGATTGCCCATTTTACTGACCAATCTTCTTCTCCATCGGCCCTACGGAGTTAGTTCGGACTGTAGGGGGAGCCACCGTTCCACCGCAGCCGAGCAAAAGCCTCCTCGACAGTGGTCGCCCCTCCAGGGCGATTTAAGACCTGTGTAAGAGTCTACTGGTAGAGAGAAAGGCAGCCATCAAAGAGCGAAGCCTTTCGTGTGGCTGAAGCTGCCTGATCCGGAATTGAAATTAGTGGAGCTTAAAAGCAGGAGTGATTTATGTAGATGTAATAGTAGGGATGCTTCCGTGGATTGATTGAATTTTAAAAAGAAATAGATTAAACTAAATTTGTTATATCATGTGAGGAAATAGAAGGGGGATTCTTTTTTTTCCTTTTTTTAAGGTATTAATTTTAGTTTTTTATATATATGACTTGTTTTGCTATGATTGATCACCCTTTCACCACGGTGTTTTCCTGAGCACTTTGATGTTAAAATTTAAAAAACCAATAAAATGAGTATTTTAAAAAAAGAAACACTAACAAGAAAAAACATTCCATTCCAAATTCAAACTAAGTATCTGGATTTTTGGCCCTAGAAATATATTGTTAAGTCTTAATTCTCACAATGCTTGCAATAAAGCAAGAAGATCATCTACATATTACTCTGTGAATGCTACCACTTAATGGATTAAATGTATTGCTAGGATCATATAACATTCAATTTCTTCCCTATGTAGACCCATAGGGGGGTAAACCCAACTAAAACACTGGAAACTAAAAGTGGTAGCATTCTCAACCAACAGGGAAAAAAAAGCTAGCAATTTTTTGTTCTTTGGTAAATATAAGTCCTCCAAAATAAGAAACAGAACATTTAGGTTATCTTAATATATCGAGTACCTTATATATAAGACAAATTCTCCTGGAACTTGGGCCAGTCCTAAATACATTGTTCATTTACTACCTTTATGTGTTGTAATGTATAATATTGTTGGTTTCTTGTTATTCTCTGAGCTTTGTTGTTTTCCTGTAGATATTTCATTACCAGACTAGATAACTTCATGAATGTTTAGGAGAGTGAGGTTTGCTGGATATTATATATAGTAGCTTGATTTGCCATTCTTGATTTAAATGTAGTTTAGCATATATCCCATCACTTTAAACCCAAGAAATTCATATAAAGATCTTTCATTTTAATCTCAAAACTGATAATGAGATTAGCTAGCCTAATCATACAGTAAATGCCAGGTTTCAGTATACTGTATTGAGATTCCATGTTGATTCTACAAAACAAAAATTGAGGGAAAGGGAGAGGGGGAGAGAGAAAAAAACCCAGCATCTATTTGTCACACAATGTTAAATTTGGCATATTTATTGTATTTGATATCAAACAAAATAAGTTTATTCTATGCCTTCAAAATTGTTTTACATAAAATATAAAATTAATATTTGAGATAATTGCATTTTCTTAATTGCAGATTTCCTTACCCAGACAACATCTCAAATATCAGAATGCCCAGGGCCCACCAGTCTACTGCTCTTCCATGACCTTTACTTTGTATAACTTCGGGGGCAAGATACTCTGGTGTTCCACACAGTGTCCATGTTCTAAAGAAAAACAAAACAAAACAAAGAAATAATATTATAAATAAATTCTATAAATTAGGAAAGTGTTGCCATAGAAGCCAATTTATTCCATGCAATCAACTTTAAAGATGTGCAATTCATATGGTAGCTGCTGCGCAGACATAGGTGGTCTTTTGATCACCTGTAATAAGTTGATGGGAATTCATGCAACTAAGATAACCCCTAATATGTGAAAATTAAAGTCTTATGAATGAATGGCATTTTGAATTCCTCACATTGCTAGGAAATGAAAGTGAATTAGTCTTATATTTTGAAGCACAAGATATAAGTAATCACCTATACATAATGTCACAAATACTTAGTTAATAAAACAGACTCCTTCAAGCTGTTCTCAGGTATTGATTCAAGTATAAGTCAATATCAAAACCCATTCAGTTGTAAACAGCATTAATTTTATTTCATAAATTTCATAAAAATAAATTATTTAAAAATCCAGAAAATCTGGATATTTTGTCTCAGAATTCCAAATTTAAATATATCAATTCCAAGGCCTGGCCTTTTGCGTACAGCTGCCATATACACACCATTTTATACTACATATCTTATTGTAAATACTTAAATAAAGTAAAATAGTTCAGCAATGCTTCTCAGGATATTTTCCTAAAATATACTGTAATGTGAATGCTCAGTATTAAAACAAAAACAAACTTATGGATATGTAACAAATCTGTATTTACTACACAAAATGCTATATTACAAAAGTAATCACACTGAAGAAATAATCAATGATTTTAAAAACCAATGACTCATACACCAAATATTGAGACACTATTAAGGGTTTATAGGGGAGAGGGTGCTTCTTAGGCAATCCTGGGTTGCATAAACAGAGGCATAGAATCAAGAACTGCAACCATATAGTTATGCTCACTTTAAACTACATCATCTATGAAAGAAAAGCAATGTTCTTTTAATTATCCTGATTTATTCAAAAAGAATAGGATGGATACAATATTGATATACTGGGAGATTAGGTATACATTTCTACCCTCATGAGACTGGCAATTAAGAGGTTACAGAATATCTTAATCAGTTCTATCTCTTTATTTCCTTTTCTTTATCTTCAGAGGATCCACATAGGACTGGAAAGTATAATTTGCTGCTAATTCATATTCACCAAGCATATTCTATTTTGAACATTTCTCAATAATATTTTATAAGGTTTATATTGTACCTTTCCTCTAAGAAAAAAAACCCCAGCTCAATCACTATTTTATCTCCACCAAAACACTTTGAGATGGATTTGGATGACAGTGTGATCCAGATTCACCAAGGGAGTTCCCATGGCTGATGCTGAACTTGAATCTAGGTCTGCCAATTCCCATACAATACCTTAACCACCATATAATTTTATACATATGCACACTTCCTGTCAGAATCCAATTATATTTCATCTTTAATTATCAAATATAGAAACTCCCAATTCTGCCTTCTCTGGATTTTGCCATAAGAGGGAGAGAAGGGGGAGAACAAAGGGGCTTTATGGTCCTCACTTCCATCAGTAGACTTCTAGGGAGCTGAATGTGTTTATTGCAACTTCAAAGAGAAACTTTGAATGTAAATAGCATCAAAGAACTTTACCATCACAAAAGAGAGCAAATTACCTTTCATGTAGTTATCTGAAGTCTCCATACAGACGGAAGAAAGGAGCAAGGGGGTGGAATTGTGATGCCTGAAACTATCACTGGAAGGGGGGGTGATTGGGTGGGACTGCTGGGGAACCCCTTAAAACCTTGAATGGGAGAGCTTGGACCCCAAGTCCTGTCTAGCATGCCTGCAACCACTTCTTCTTAATAAAGGATTCCTGTTGGAAGAATTATTCCAAGAGTTCTGTCTTCTTAAGATGCAAAGTGGGGTGGGTCCTTACATTAGACAGGACTTGCAAAATTAATCCACCTGGAAGGGAGACCCTTGCCGGGGGATTTTGCAAAAATTTACCATGTCAGACAATGGAGCAAGAGAGGGGGAAAACTCCCTGGAAAGAGAGCCGCTGACCCAGTTGGAACCTTGCCAGATGTTGGGATCCGAGAGGTCAGATTCCTCGGGAGAAGAAGTGGTGGAGACACGGGACCACAAGCCTCGCTGGTCAATGGGCGTTGGAAAGAAAAGTGAGTGGGGAAAGGAATCAAGAAAGGTGACCCTGAGACGGGGGACCAAGCAACCAGAATGGAAGCAGGAGATGGAGAAATCCCTGCACGCAAGTGAAGAGGGAGAAAGCTGGGCACCGTACTCAGACTGGATCCTAGAGAAAGCTATTGACCTGATGAAGAGAACTCTCAGCTTCCTAGGAGAGGAGAATACTGAGCCCTACGGCCGCCCCAGCTCCTGGAGCCGCAAAGGGAGAGACACCGAGGGGGACGTGGAACCTGCAACCCCAGGGACATCTACTGATACAGGAGCCCCCACCCCCTACCGGACCACAGATGGCAATCTGGACGGAAGACACTACCACCCACAACGGAGGCACCGATCCATTCCAAGACGTCCACCGTTGGAGGTGAAATTCAAAGGGGAGCCAACACGCTTGGGGTTTTTCCTAACCCAAGTCCTCAGCTACATGGAGGAATATGGGCAGGACATTCCCAGCGACAAAGCCCGCATCCGGATCGTGCAATCTGCCCTGGATGGACCAGCTGCAGATTGGGTGGTGAACTTGCATGACTCCAATGCCCCAGAACTCAGTAACTTCAACCGTTTCATGTCCTCTTTGAGAAGACGATTTGAAGACCCCCTGGCTGATCGCAAAGCCCGTGAAAGGATAAAAACGATGAGGCAAGGCAAACGCCCGGTGGCTGAATATACACAAGAATTCCGGGCCATTGCCAGCAAACTGAATTGGCCAGAAGACATCCTCCTTAGCCATTTCAAAGACGGACTAAATATGATCTATATGACACTTGCCTGCCCCGAGGGGACCCACATCGACTTGAGGAATGGTACGTCTTGGCAGAGGAAGCAGAGATCGACATATTGAAGAGGCACCACCAAGGAAAACAATGGAGCCGCCCCCCGCCTGAGCTGACACACCAACCGGTGAAATCATCGGATACAGCCAAGAAGCAAATGGGGTGTTTCAAGTGCGGAAGAGAAGGGCATCGAGCTGTAGAATGCCGCTCAAAGGCCCCCCAGCACAACCCAGACAGATCCCCAATCAACAAACCCAGAAAGTCTTCAGCTAAGCCAAAAGAAACGGCCATGAGAATGATGGAAATTGCAGAACCCCCCACTTCTGCTCACCAAGGGGAAAGAACTCCAGCCTACACCACAGGGCCGGTGGATGCCTCAGATGACAGCTCGGAGGGCGAACCCCTGGTAAGTGGATGCATCACACCCATCCTCAAAACAGTGACTATATTAATCCCCCCCATGCCCGAAGCTGTGAAGGTGAAAGCCTTAATAGACTCTGGCTGCACCCGCTGCCTCATTAGCCCAACACTAGTGGGGAATCTGGGCATCCCATCCAGGAGACTGGAACAACCAATCTCATTTGGCCAGCTAGATGGATCCATAGCAGGGGGGGTGCCAGCTACCCTAGCCACTCTGCCAATACACCTCTCCCTGGGCAACCATGAAGAGGACTTAACGTTTGTGGTGACCCCAGGTATGGAATGCCCAATGATTCTAGGGATGGAATGGTTGAAAAAATGGAACCCCTGGGTAAATTGGAGGACGACAGAAATCAAATTCCCGAAGGGGGACCCTATGGACTTAAAACCCCAAGGGAGGCTACCAGAATCAAGAATAGAAAAAGCATCCATAGGAGAGGAAAAAAGATTAACAGAAATACCAGAGGAATATAAGGACCTTGCTGAAGTCTTCAGTGAGGAGAGGGCGAATGAGCTTCCCCCCCACTGACCCACAGACTGTACCATTGAATTCAAGCCTGGGGCAAAACTCCCGAAGCCCAGATTATACTCCATGAGCCCAAAGGAGAAGGAGGAAATGGAAAGATTTATTAAAAAAAACCTAGAGAGAGGTTTCATTGAGCCAGCCAAGCCTAAAGTGGCTGCCCCGGTCCTTTTTAGAGAGAAGAAGGATGGCTCTTTACGTTTATGCGTGGATTATAGGGCCCTGAATACAATCAGTGAAAGCAACCTATACCCGCTGCCCCTCATGAAAGACATGCTGTCACACCTATCGAAAGGGAAAATTTTTTCTAAACTAGACCTAAGGGAAGCTTACTATCGCGTGAGAATTAAGGAAGGGGACGAATGGAAGACTGCATTTAACTGCCCCATGGGGTGCTATCAATTCAAAGTCTTGCCATTTGGATTACAAGGGGGCCCTGCAGTCTTTATGCAATTAATCAATGACGTTCTAAGGGAGCACCTGTTTAAGGGGGTCCTTGTTTACTTGGACGACATTCTTATCTTTACTGAAACAAAAGAAGAACACGTCAAACTTGTCAGAGCGGTTTTAAAGAAGCTGCGAGCCGCTCACCTATATGCCAAACTCTCAAAATGCGAATTCCACCAGGAAAGGATAGACTACCTAGGCTATCGCATATCCCCACAGGGCATTGAAATGGACCCAGAGAAGATCAAAGCAGTATTAGATTGGGCGCCACCCCGCACAAGAAAGCAACTACAAAGTTTCCTGGGCTTTGCAAACTTTTACCGCCAATTCATCCCCTCATTTGCCCAGATAGCCTTGCCCCTCACTAACTTACTAAAAACGAAGGGAGCATCCTCAGTAAAACCTAGCCAGCCACTAACATGGACAATGGAGCGCCAAGCAGCGTTTGAGAGACTAAAGAGACTTTTTTCTGCCGAACCAGTACTAAGGCACCCAGATATGGACAAGCCCTTCATAATACAGGCAGATGCAAGTGATGTGGCAGTGGGGGCTGTGCTATTACAAGAAAATAATGATGCAGTATTGTAACCCTGTGCATATACATCCAAGAAACTCACGGAAACAGAACAACGCTGGCCCGTATGGGAGAAGGAGGCTTATGGGATACG